AATGAATCACTTAACAGAACCAACAGATCGCCGACGTTGATGGTTGAGTTGAATTGTCCAACGAAGTCGATTGTAATTTATTGATGAAGATGATTTGCTTACTTGATTTGGGAAATTATTTAATTAGGCCGGCCTGTGCGTTCAATTGTTTGCTTTGTTGATTCGTTATGGATTGGAGTGCGATTGATTGGGAGGGATGTTTGGGAAAGGAACTTGGGTTTTGACCTTATTTATATATTTGGGACAGGATGTGGAAATTTGGAGGTGCACTATTTAATTACGACCTTAACTCTTTTGAGATTGGATGAGGGTAATTAGGTGGTTGTGGGGTTTGAGAAATTCACGGAGCTTGATCCGAACGACGACCACGAGTTGATTTGAACTGTTCGCGCTTATTCACAAAGAAATGACACAATTACGACACACTGCAGTTTGAGATCTGGTGATTGAGATTGAATTTGATTTGGTTTGACTTATTGGATTTGGGACTTGAAAGCTTGGTTGTTGATTTGCTTGAATTGAAATCTCGTCTTCGATTTGCCTTTCCAGACCTCAAACTTGGGTAATTAAACCCTTGTAATTACAACGATAACAACACGACTACGCGATTTACTACGACTACGTGACCTATTGTGAACTAACTATAAGTTTAGTACCTAAACAAATACGAACTATTGTAATTGAAACGAAATAAGAAACGAGAAACAAATTGTGGTGTGCTAGAATGAACGCCCGTAGTGAACAACGTAAACAACCAATAGTAACTTATGAGAACAACTCATCCCGACTGCAAGTGACGTGGCACATTTGAACAATAAACAACTATTGATGTATGTACTATAAAGTTCGCGACCGCATTAGTACGTTGGAGTGAGAAAAACAGAGACAGGCAGACAGATAGAGATAGAAACATTCCAATGTGACGTCATGTTGGGCGTTCATGACTTCGCGGCTACCAGTCGCGACACCTATCATGTACAAATAATAACTGTTAATGCTTGTATGTCGATAAATGATTCTGCAATGTCGGATTGAATTGTTTTAACAACGGAACCGTTAGCAAACGCGAATCAAATTATCTGCCTCTGATCCTATAAGTTATAAAGTTCAGTGCAATTTGAAAGTGCGAATGAAAAGAATTTATTTGTTAATGCAGTCCTCGCAGACTGCAATGGAGCTCCTTTAGAGCATGAGTGAGCGCATTAGTATGCCCAGTAGAATTTTCTATTCCTGCCGAAAACAAAAAAAAGCTGTCATAGGAAAATGGGATCGGGAAATCTTGATTGATAATGACTTAGACAGAATATAATCTGCAGTTGAAATGTTTCGATCTGTTTGCGCGCATTTTGCAAAATCAGTGAGAGTTTCTTTCGAAAGTTTCGTTAGTCATTGGTAATTGAGATACCTATGATCGTAGAAATACAATTCACGAATTTAATCGAAAACGTCCATAAACGATAGCAGCGCATCCACAACGGAAAAGGGAATTCGGAGGGAGGGTAGGGCTAGCGGGAGAGGTTGCTGAACCTGCATACACTTCTTTGACTGTAATTTGTTGTACATATTCCAGATCGCAGGTCACTCGTGGCTTACAATTATCGAAATTGAAATTTCGTCGTATATGACCGCAGTAATTTTGGTTTATTACCTGAAGAGTTATTGACTGAGTAGTTGATTGTTCATTGCTATTCTGCAGATTTTAAAATTTATTTATGGAATTGTCCGAGGGGATCACGCAGACTGAACTCCTTCCGTTTGCACCTAAATATCGATGCATTGATAAACGCTATCGATTCACAGACCGGTAATCTTCTTATCGTTTCATTTTGTTGGTGTTTATTACTATCTCAAACCGTCATGTTGAGTGATTTCTCAGAGGAATACATGGTTGTCAGCCTATGGGTTACCCAACGTCAGACATCGGTTACAGTGAACATTCAAATGTTCCAAGGCCAACTGCGTCTCAACTGACCAAGGTACAGTCAAGTCAGTGGCATGCTTTCAGTGCTGATTGTTGCTTGTTCACTTCACTTTCATAACGCGGTGTACCCGTATACAGACAAAGAAACGACGCATCATTTGAAACACATTATCTGAGCATTTTCAAAGTTTATGAATGGCAAAGTGCTCATTTGAGTTGAAAGGATGAATTTGCATACAAGAGGAGAGTGTTTCGCATAGAGTAGACGAATAATCTGATAAACCAGCAGAACAATCTTCATCCTCGCTCTCCATCATTCGGTCATATTGTTGGTTTGCGCATTAGTTGAGAGCAATGCAATGAAAATATGATCGAATGACCTGTAATGAAGTGACGAATTAATGAAAAGACGAGAATTTAAAGGAGATTAGTTGACACGAAAAAATCACTTGATATATTCGAAATGAATCAATGCTGAATGAGCAATCATTCAATGAAAAATACTGGCGGAAAAAGTTCTTCAAGAGACATGTCAATAAAGCAATGGAAATAAATTCCCGGAAGGTTGTCGTTATTCGTAATGCTTGAAATTCCTTCAGAAGGCACTGCCGGACGTTGTGTTGCTGAATATATTCAAATACATTCACCCAATCGACCTTGTCAATGGTATTTCAAGAGTATCAAAACGATGGAATGCACTCGCCAAAACACCGTCACTATATCGATACGTTCGTGTATTGGTCAATAAAAAATCAACAGATTCAGGGAGCGCGAAAAAGTTCTTGGAGCGGGTTTGTTACCCTACCACTTTCATTGGAGAATCGTTATGGATTGATTTTGGAATAGTGTTTGTATCACTAGTGAATTATTAATGAATGCCTGGAATGCAGACTAGTGATGGTTACCGAACCTGATTCTGCCTTCAACTGTATCGTTTTTTCAAACGTTTGACAGTGACTTCCTCACTCAGGAATTGACGATCCGTAATTTCAAAGATCACACAAATGCGACTGCACTCACCAATCAGTATCTTCTATTAAAAATGCACTGACAATGAGCATGAATTCGTCGATTTTTGCACTGATTGCAGTGTGAGTTCAGGCAAAAAATTGCGTCAGAAAATTGTGTGTGACTTGCGAAATGAATGTCTTCGGTGATATATTTCCCAAATGTATGCCAAACGTCACATTTCTGGACATGACATCATTTCCAGGTAATTTCAGTTCGTGAAGCTATCATATTACTCCTTCATTATCAAAGGATGTTTACCACTGACGGAGTTGAGTTTTCAGAGCTATGTTCCTTGCTGGAATTGCATCGCACCCTTTTATTATTCATTATTTTAGATGCGTCGGGATGCGCTGACAAACTGATCAGTTGTTTCCCATCCGCGGAAGAACTCATTCTGAATGACATTCAAAAGGTAAGTTTCTTTCTCCACTGAAATACACTGTTGGTGTTTCATTCGAATAACACTTTTGCTCCATCTACTTCGAACTTAACGTTCTTTTTGTAAAAAGAAGTCGAAATCAGTGTACCACAGCCAATCGCACGGAAACATATCAAAATCTATACCGCAACAGCATTTCAAAATCACTGCAATTCAGCATACGCCAATGAAACATTGTTATTTACAACAAGGCGAACATTTCTTGTGTCCTTGTCAACTTTCACCATACTCCAATTGATTCTATTCACTTCACATTTACGACTACGATCTTTGTGGTACACAAGTGAAGTGATAATGTTAAGCGTATCTCCACAATCATTCACAATGACATTGCAGTTCGATAAGCATGCCCTAAACACTCTATTCTCAAAAAATGCATTTAAACGCCTGCATCGACTTCACTTCGGAAATTACGAGGACGAAGCATACAAGGTCATCCAGAAGCTTTGTGAATGTGAACGGCCGTTGCAATTGCTATCTATCACCAACACTACCGAGTAATGCTCAATTACCCTTCTTCGGGTCTAAGTCCTTTAGGATTTGTCAATAAAATTTGCGGTAACGCAGTCGAATTTTATCGGCTGCAAGACACCGTAGAGCTCGTATCGCAACTAGGGTTTGCAGGATATAGACGTTTTTACAATCCCGGGATCGATTTTTGATCCCGGGATAATCTCTGGATCGAACAATTAGTGAAACATCGATGTGGGACATGTTGAAATACATTTTTTCGAACCAATATGTTCATTATTGTTTGTGATGTTGACTGTGTTGCTGGTGCGAAAGCGACGATTAGTAATTTAGTTTATCCACACAATAAATGAAGACGATAATAACGGTTCAATACAGTGAAGATGGTTGAGTGACGAGAGATGCCGATGATGGCTCATAAACAACAACAACACTGGATACACGAACAACACACTAACTGACTAATACGGAGGAACTGATATAACTACACTGAGCTACTTATATAGTCATTGAGATTTGCTGATTACGAAACAATGGTTACGAATTGCCAATGGTGGTCAGAGAACACATAATATGCAAAGCACTATAGACAGACATACAAGAAATCGTAAATAATAAACAAAAGATCACCGGTTTATCACAACATGATCCTTCAATTATTAATTAGAAAGGAGTTAATTCAATAAACTATCGAACAAATTCGAGGAACCAAATTATTCAAATTCAAATCAATATTTCATATAATGTTACTAGTGATCATGTCATAAGACCATACTGCATTTTCTATGCTAAGGCATCTTGTCGTCTCCGGTCTAAGTTAATAACAGTACACTTGCATGTGAATATGAAATTCTTGATTCTCAAACACTTATTTGCAGTGCTTCGAGTCCATTTTATCGCAGTATTAACGTCAACTGAATTCTGCCATTTCGAAAATTTCGATTTCTTACGGAAGAAATGCATCGCATAAATTATAACATCTGAATTTTGAAAAAAATTAAAGGTTGAAAGTTTATCTAAAAAGTGAAAAAAAATATCAGCAATGGATTTTCATCGAACCATCGAGCACTTACATGTTTGATAATTTCGATCAGAGATCATGGAAATGTACTTTATAGTTAAGCTTAAGATCCTTTGGAATGGAACAATTTCCCTCACTTCAGCAGTGAATTCTCACTATGAGTGAACTCATGTCAGTGAGAATTGATGCACAATTCGATCGGATGAAAGTGTTTCCAAATAGCGAAGTAAAAAGACTTGCAGTCTTTAGAACATGCAGTTGAATTAAAAGATGGAATATTAAAGCCGAAAAAAAACGCGTTGGAGGAAACGACTCAAAATTTTGTTGAAGTTTGTTGCTCTTGATTCTTATCAGAAAATGTGATTTACTTAGAAATGCATCCAGATAAGCGTGATATATACCACTGAAGAGCAGAATAATCAGTTGAATAATCAATGAAATGTTGCGTAAAGGTTCATCGAGCTCTCGTTGATCATGTCGTTCGTCCGGATTGCGTCTATTTCCTTAGCTGAACATCAATGATAGAGGGCAAACAGCAAAGATAACTGCATATAAATTAGATGGGATTGATTAAGGCTTACTTCAAGATGGGCATATTATCAAAATTCAAGCAAAGTGGCCTGTTTTATCAAATTCCGAAATCCTGGGATTTTTCAAAGCTTAAATCCCAGGATCGAGATCAGAACTTAAATCCCGGGATCCCGTGCAAACCCTAATCGCAACTAAGTAACAGTTCGCTCCTTAATGTTCGTAGTAATAATCGAATGTTTATCGTATGCATAATGTCGATTGAGGGCAGCCCAACTGTATTTTTGGCAGTTTTCGGCTCTCCAGTCTAAAGTAATGGATCTGCACAGATGTATTTTTTATTGAACCATCGATGTCGTGCAGCGATTAAACCTATGAGTTTGCATTCTCTTTTATAAATATCTCCGAAGGATCTCAGACTCCTTCATGTTCAATCTTATATCCCGCAATTCCTTTGCAGGCTTGGAAAAATACTCCAAACGCCGATTCGTGACACTCTGACAGAATTTTATTTACGTGGATACCTTCAAGATGGTGATTATGCGGTCATTGGACAGTTGATAAATCTTTCGAAGTTATCGGTTTTCTCTTCACTTTATGCAACCGATGAACAGCTTATGCAGTTAAAGGTCGGTCTATATGTATCTAAAAGAACCTCGTAGTGAAATATGAAAGTGATGAATAAGAATGCCAGTTTTCGAATTCTGATTGCGAGGAAGACGAAACTCGGAGCCTTTAAAAACCAAATCTGAAGATGTGGGATTCTGATTTGTTTGTTACAAGTTTTGTCCTCTTGCGATGTATTTTCTCAAAATAATATTTCAGTCACTTCGCAATTTGGAACATCTCCACTTAGACTGCTCCGGTCAGGACTGTGATTTCACTATTGAGGGTCTTATACGATTCTTTGAACTTCCTACCGAGAATGAGTCAAATCATTTTCCATACCGTCTCAAATATTTGTGCTTCATTGAATGTTACAATTTCCAGACGGATGTTGCAAAAGCACTTGTGAAAAGGTGTCGTGTCACTATTTAGTTGTTTGCTCATCCTTTAAGGAGTCAACTCAATCCCCTTTGAAGACTCCCACATTCAAAATTGTCAGTCGTATCTTGACCAAGCAGTTCACAAAATTACTGACCTTAAGTGATTACCGAAAATTCGAGGGAATGCTCCTATCGAATGTTTCTTCGGTCCCCATCACTATGCTGTTTTGAAAGAGCGAAGAGATTCTGGAACGAATCCAGTCTTGTAGCATGCTTATCATTATGAGCTCCAGACAGGGTTTTAAGATCGTTTTATCCTATGTGACCATTTAAGACGGTTGAACGGATGAAATTCGTTGCTGTAGACCAGTGATTCTTACAAGTGAAGTTTGGTTGGGGGTGAGGGCTGGTGGTTTACGTCAGATAGGAAAGTGAGCAATAGTACTACTGATTTAGGCGGTGCAGTCTTTTTAATTCATTTAAAATCCATAGACAAATGGCAATTTGTTCACTTATTCGCGTCATGTATACTTCAGTTGTCCACAGCTCGTATCCTTGAACGTCAGCGAAAATTGCTTCCTTCCCGACGAAGGCTTAACACTGCTTATCAAAGGTTTACCGTGAGTTTTTCTGGGCATTTTTTTTCATTTCTCAATACTTCGGACAGTACGTTCATTTCCTAGTAGATGTAGGTCAGGGATATTCGAGCCTATTCCAGGTTTTCGTGGCCTTCGACCCTACACTTATTTGCAAGGACTCCGAGCTCAGTTCTGCCCTCTGACCCAGCCTTAGAATACGGTGCCATTGGCAGGAAACGAGTCATCCCCCGAATCAAATTTTGAGCCAGTGCTATACCCTATCTTCCGTTTATCAAAATAGACGTATTCTCGCATTGTAATGTTCAGAAATCTTCGATTCCTTGACATTTCGAGAATGCATGAAGAGGAAGGTTATTTCAATGAAATGGATGAGCTGCAGTTTGATGTGATACGGAATTTGTCTGATGAGGACGTACCTCAACTCCAATTTCTTCAGTCTCATTACAATAAGGTGATCATAAATGCATCGTTATGCCAATATATCATAATATGTCATGACTCAGTAGCAAAGGCTTATATTAATCACAAAATGTTTCGGATGCGGTGGAATTGGCTAAGTGACGATTTGGTGACTCCACTGCAAACCTTAAGATGTCAGCGTTTGCTAACTTAGGGCGCAAATGCACATATTCCGAGTGACTCCGTTGTTGGGTGTATGTTTCACTCATAATTCGTTATCGTGAGGATGGTTTACTTGACAAAATGTGATGTGTTATTGTGTTCAATGTTTCAGTTCGATCAGGAGATTTTTTGGAAACTGAACATGAAACGTCCAAATTTGATGATTACGACTAGAAGTGATTATTTCATCAACTGGGATATTCGAGATGGAAAACCGTTCTTGAATGATGATTTCAAAGGAGACATGAATCATTTGCTGAATGACCT